GATGCCTGCATTCTATTCCTTTAAAATCAAGCCAACCCATACCAATTACTGTTTGGTTCCTTCGTCTCTGACGAAAAATCAGAGTGGGAAATTGTTGACCGATAATTATGGTCAACCCTTGGGGCGATCAGACATCTGTCACATTCAGTGCTTAAGTGCTGGTCGAGCTGAGAATTCAATGGTTCACATTTCGGGCAGCTTGATCCTACAACTCCTGTGTCACCTTTAGTCGAATGCGTCGCCGAATCCATTACCATATTGGACCTACTTTTCGGTCCGTTCTCTTTCTTGACTCTCTTGAATGTAGTAATATACTTTGATGAAATTTCCGAAGCACGTTTTCAGACACACTGTAATTCCTCGAGCGACCTTAACTTTCAAATAAATTACAGTTATACTGCAGCGGAGCATCAATGTGGATCACTGATGTTCATGACGACCCACGCAGCCCTGAAGCGATGTCTCCTACATTAATACCACCAGCCGCCACGCTGGTGTCGGGACATCCGAATCGTCGGCTGCCAGCTCATCCTTCGACAGCACAGTCTGACTAAATTGCGATAAACGTGGACTCTGTACTCACCAAGCATTTCGAACCATGTTCAGGCTTAAAGAGTTCGGAATACACATCAGTGCTTTTTGTATCACAATCTTTTTCAATGTTTGTCGCAAGTTCCCTAACAGAACTAGTAATTTTGCAGTTCAATTCCGGGATATCTGGTGGACTCCGTGTGTCTTAACGGTAATGTTTCCATGAGTTTCCTCTCTCAATGGTGACACAAATTGTGCTTGTGTTTTCAAATTCAATGCTGGAAATCCAAACTCGCCTTGACGGGATGATCAGGATTTTGTTCACGCCATCGTTTGATCTAGCCGATTTCCTCACAGTGCACCTGTGGTTTATTCCGGCATCCCCATGGGCACAAACATTTCCCCATCGATCAATAAGAATAAGGATTCATATGCCATCCTTCACTGAATGGAAATGACCTGTCTTCATACTTATGTCAGGTTTATACTCATCAATTGGTAATGAGTGCGATCGAAAACTGTACTTAGTGCATCACTGGTTGAGAAGTGAGCAACACGTATATCAGCTGCTATTTCGAGACTCAAGATCGATAGAGTGAACTTAAGAGCGTTTCGCGCTCTATTAGCAAGCGCCATGATTTATCATGGGTTTGTTGTAAACCAAATCAAATTCGGCGATGAATTCAGCTAACAATCATCTGGATTAAAATGAACTTGAAACCCCGAAATTCCAAGTTGAACGAGAGAATTCAGGAAGAACGCAGAGCCTTGGCAGCGACCCGCAAATTGAACAAGTGTACAATTGCATCTGAACCGTTGTACAGTACGGGAGAAAGAGGGGAGATGTAGGAATTGATACTTCGTTGACCGCTCCGATCCAACTGAAAAATATGACGATAGCATTCCATCCCGTTGTGTACAGCTAAACAAATGGCACTGGACAAGTTGGATAATGAAGTTACAGTCCTCGGTATAGACTGCTGCAATTAGTTCTTTTAACAGTAAGGAATCCATTTCTTCGTCGAGTAGTCGTTCAATACTCTAGACAATCCACGATGATCGCACCATTCACATTTTTTCAGAAACATCTTTGATCTATTTCTATTTCTCCTGTTCCTCCCGAGTGCCATGACGCAGCTTAGAACACTAAGAATTCAAGATCAGGTCTGCTACGAATGAAGCCCAGGGCGGAGAGAGGATTCTCCGCGGACGCTCACACTCAACTGTCCTGTTCAGACTGGCTTCAGATAGTTGCTTGGACTTGTAGGGTTTGTGTTCGCATCACTTATACGAACAGTAATCTTATCCTTCAGCCCCATTCCGTGATGACCAGACCTCAGGCAATTGGCATCAACTAGATCTATGAACATGACAAACATGCGTCTCAACGCACCAGTGACGTCACTGTACCACTGGCCCACACCTTGTGCACACAAATTTAAACGATGGCGACGGAGATTGTTAAAATCAGTACAGTCGCAATAGTGACGGTAGCAACAGGGATAATTTGCGGAGCGGCGATATCAGTGTGCAGAAAAACTCGAAACCGTATATTCACCTACTGGTTATATCTATTTGATAGTTAAATCGATCAACTGTGGACCGTGAAGTAGTCTAAAGGTTGGGCTTGGCTGCTCCCCTTCCAAGTTTAGTGAACAATGATAAGCTAGACAAACTTGCATAATTCAGTGCGTCAGATGAGGCGGATGAAGTTTTTATTGGTCTCTCACTGATCAAGTTATTAGCTACACAATGCACCGTATACACTTTTACATGCCTACGATGGAAACGTCTGCAGTCACTGACTTGCGCCTCTGCCAGTCCACGATTCATATGGGTAGGCTTAGATACCGCGTATACTTCGTTAACAGCGGCAGCCGCTACGATAAGTATAACGGATATGCCCAGTAAACGTAGAGTATCGATCCAGCTCGTATATTCGCTATATTACTGATCCATTTGCTGTGCCAACTACTCCGCCAAATCTCGACTGGGTGGATTTTACTCAAAAGACAATAGGGAGTTTGTCCATGTTATCAGATGCGATAAAGACGAATCACGCGATAGTGGTCATCTGCTCTTTTTCGTAAAATCCTCAGTTACACTTAAATGCAAACATTATCAAAAAGTAAGCTATGTAATCGGTGCTGAAACCATCGTGGAGAATAAAGTTTGAATTTGCTAGTTTAGCGCTTCCCTTGGAGGCAACTTCCTACGTCCAATATGGACCCACAAAAGGTTTAGGGCCAGTAAATTGCATTACGGTCACTGCCGGTTTGAGCGCTGTGGGAACAGAATGCACCCGTATCTGACTAGTATACTCGTGAATGTCTGAAGGTGTAGGCACCTCGGAATGATTGTGCAAAGCTAGCACAAGTCCCTCCCCCGTCCACCTTTACTCTTTTCTTTACAACAAGGCTTTCAAATAAGTCATGGTTGTACGGCAGTGAAGCATCGGTGTCGAACACTGATCTCATGCTGTCGATGATGATGATGAACAAAGTCCAGGAGAGCGGATCAACCCTGAGACAGTTAGGAAACTATTTCTCATCCGCATGCAGTAACCAGCCTCTCCCGGTCCTTTGCACAAATGTTCTTGGTTTAACACGGATATCTAGGCGCGCGCATACGTACCGTTGAACTATGGATCCACGGGTCACACTGCCTGATTCGATTCTTGGTTGAGTGATATTCACCAAGTAGTGACATATGCTTTAGCTTTTGCGGTGCGCTTGCAAATCAATGTTATCCTTCGACCAATACAGTCATTTGCATATAAGTTTAGTTTCAACGGGAGACTCACCTCGACCGCAGCTTAATCTCTCGTTTATGATGTCGAGTTTTCAGCAACCTTACGAGTAGTATATTATGTTACCTATCTCATTAGGAGCCTGACATTAAGTAGAGCAGGAGTGTTTGTAGATCCGCCACCATACCTGTTGTAACAGAGGCAGATCCAAAAGGAACACATCGCAAAAATGGATAGAACGCTTTAGTTCCAACCCACTGACGCCGTTTTCAACATACTAATGATCCGTACTGCAAGGGATAGCAGAGATCATTGCTATCAATTGACTTAAACAAAGCTTACGTCATCAGAAACAAAACTTTGTCCGCCAGACCGCCGTTGACGTGATGTCACGTTGACCTTTAGTCTGTCTGTGGGATCCATCGTTTGATGTGACACTTATGTAACACATCTATGAACATGTTATTGGTCATTTAGTACCAAAGGAGTTCCTACGAAATACTCGCACATAAGGTGCCTATCAAATTTGAATGGTGAATAAATATTAACAATAAACAACAATCGATATGGTCTCGTCCTTTTTTTCCACGCTTTGTCGAAGTGAGTGCTAATCACGCTAGTGCTTTGTCTGGCCAAACCAACCAATGGCGAAAAGGTTGCGGGTTTGAAACTTTATGCGTGTTTCGTGAGATGCGCACTGCCAATTGTCCCCAAAAATGGTGAAACAAATGCAGAGAGAGAGAGTGGTTACCGGCCTTTAAGCACTGACCGGATGAGATCTCTATTTTCCGAGATAGTTGTACTAACGATAAACTGCCATAAAATAAGCGGAGAATGATAGAAGGAAACACTGAAAACATTATTCTCGGTTGCCGTTTTCCAAGCTGAATCAGTTTTTTCCTCGTCGTAGATACGTTTTTATGGGACTCCGTCCCGACTAAGCCGGAAAAAATTGAATTTCACCGCTTTGAACACACATTACGGGCAGAAACGTGAGGCAAA